CCCTACTGGCTCCCTACTGAACTCATTCTTCAATTGTAACAAAGAGCAGATATTGTAAGGAAAAGGATACTTTGATTTTTTTCAGCGGGAGGGGAGGTCTCAAGCTATTTGGCATTTTGGGAAGAGAAGGTTGCTGCTGGATTTTTAGAAAATGTGTCTGATTAATACAAAAATTCTATTTATAGCTATTTACCATTTTTGTGGTAAATAGTAACAATAGTATCAGGCTTAAATATACATTTTGAAACTGTAAATAAGTTGTTTGCAATCTGAGTATTTAATATTCATTAATATTAACTGAAGTGGAGCAATGAGCATCCTCTGGGCAGTTCAGTCTTTGTAAAAAGACTTTCATGCTTTTTGTCCAGCAGGAAGACACTGAAATGAGAGTCCTAATACTGCCAATATGTGTTGTACCTCTAAATACAGAAGGGAACATCGTTCTTTAAGAGCTTTTTTTTTTTGCTCTGGCTTCCTTTCATTGTAGGCTGTTTGAATATGGCAGTTTGTCTTTTAGTACTCGACACGCTGTCATGGTTTAACCCCAGCCGGCAACTGAGCCCCACCCAGCGACTCGCTCACTCCCCTCGGTGGGATGGGGGAGAGAATCAGAAGGGTAAAAAAGAGAAAACTCATGGGTTGAGATAAAGACCATTTAATAGGGAAAGCAAAAGCCGTGCACGCACGCAAAGCAGAACAAGGAATTCATTCACGGTTTCCCATCGGCAGGCAGGCGTTCAGCCATCTTCAGGAAAGCAGGGCTCCATCAGGTGTAACGGTGACTTGGGAAGACAAACACCATCACTCAGAATGTCCCTCATTCCTTTTAGTATGCTGAGCATGACATCATATGGTATGGAATAGCCCACAGGCCAGTTTGGGTCAGTGGCTCTGGCTATGCTCCCTCCCAGGTTCTTGTGCACCTGCACACTAGAAAAGGATGGGAAGCTGAAAAGTCCTTGAAGTCTTAGCAACAACTAAAACCATCAGTGTATTATCAACATTCTCATACTAAATCCAAACCAGTGCTATTCTAGCTAGTCAGAAGAAAATTAACTCTATCCTAGCTGAAACCAGGACACACATGCACACACTGTGGAAGTCTAGAGGAAGTATGGTTATTCTTACTTGCACAAGTTTCATCAGAGGCTCAGACTGAAGTCAAAACGCTCAAGTCAGGGAGGGAGGGAGAGGGATGAGAGTACACATCAAATGCCTTTGAACAGCCAGAATTTGGCTGCTGGTCACTCCCTCCCAGGCAACCCCTTCATGTTTCTTCTACCTCCCACAATAAAACCTCCTCCCACTATAAAACCTCCCCCGATCCCCACATCTGTTTCTCTCCCCAGACCCCCCTGCTGCATATGCTTTCCTGCTTAGCATCCTCATTTGGAGCTTGGGTGGCTGGAGTGGCTGCTGAGCTGGCATAAGGAGCTGCCAAATTATAGCGTGCAGCAGAGAGCAGCCACTTCCAGTCAGCTGCTGTTGCCTCTTGGCTGCCCTGCCCAGCTCCATGTGGTGTCTTTCAGCTGGAGCACCACGGTCAACATGTGTTGGAGGAGCAGCTCCTGACTGCATCCGCTTCTTGCACCAGCAGCAGGTAGAAAGGCCTGGGCAGCAGTTGTGGGATGGATAGGGAGTGCTCCAGCCTGGTGTACTTGGGAGCATGGTGGTTATTCTGCAGTCCCACAGGAGGAAGACACAGATTCCAGTTTCTTCAGAGAAGTGTTCTTGCTGCACCCCTTTGCTCTGAAGGCAGCGTGCAGCTGAGCCCCTGGGTACAAGCAGGAAGAGGGATGACAGCAGTGCTGCCTCTGCCCTCTCAGTATGGACTGTGACAAAAGCTGGGAGTCAGAACAGGCTCCAGAACAGGGTGGTTGGTTGGTGTTGAGGCTCTTGGGTTCCTGTGGGGATTCAGTTCTAGATGTGTCACTGCTAGTGATTTTGTGTTGGCTAAGTGAAGCAGCCTGCATCTTAGCAGCTCAGCTTTTGCAGATGCCTTTTTTTGAGGTAAGCAGGGGACCTGACAAATAAGCCTGCACAGCTGTCTGCCTCTGTAGGCAGCAGAACAGGATGTCTCTTACCTGCCCGTCAGTGGGAAAATGTCTTCTCTCCAGCTGCAGGTGTACCTGGGTTTGTACCACTTTGCTGAACACTAGAGTGGCTTAGACAGGGAGAAGCATTGTGTTTTGCTGCCCCTGCTCTAATGGGTGTAATCTCCAGTGGGGTGGACAACTGTGGAGAACAATGTCTTAGCTTCCTTTACCAAAGTCCATCCAAGAGGGCTGTCTGCCCAAGGTCTCAACTGTCCACATGCTGCAGAAAGGCCTTCATACCAGACTCACGGCAGCAAGTCCCACAGGATGCCCATGATAAAGTGGACTGAATGATACAGTAAGTGCCTCACATGAGCCACCAGGCCCCCCTTTTCTCACTGTCTTCTCTCACA